CGGTCGAGCCCGATCGGTTCCTGCCGCGTCCGGCCGACGCGGCCCGCCAGCACCGTGAAGTCGTCGTCCAGCTGCTTGCGCAGCTCGTCCTTTCGGATGCGCATCTGGTCGAGGTCGCCGCGCTTGACGTGGTTGGCGTCGTCGCGGCTCTCGTCTGCCGGCTTCTTCTTCTTCTTCTTCTTGCGCCGCCGCTCCGCCTCCCTCGCCGCCAGCTCCTCGGGGCTCAGCGGCGCGCCGCCGTTGGAAGCCGCGCGGCGCGGGGGCACGACCGACCCCTGCGTGTGGAAGACCCCGTCCGCGTCCATCCCCGTCCAGGGCGGGTCCTTGAGCTCCTCTGCGCCGAAGGACGGGCCGCCGCCGCTCCCAAACGACGCCGGCCGAGAGCTCGCCTCCTGCGGCGGCGTCGACCCGGTGTCGAGCGTCTCGCCGCCCACCGTGTCTGCGTCCGTGCCGTCGGTGACGCCCGAGGGGCCCGCAGACACCGGCGGCGGCGCCGCGGCTACGCCCGCCGCCGCCTTCCCCTCCGGCGAGTCTGTCGCGGAGAGTGGGGGCGCCGAGGACGCCGCGGCGCCACCCTGCGCCTCCACCTCCAGCGTCCTCTGCCCGCCTTGCCCGCTGTCGGCCATCTCCGGCTCCCACATCTCCACGTCCGCCGAAGCCGCCGCCGACCCTGCCGCCGCGCCCCCAGCGGCGCGCGCCGTGCGGCCGAAGGCGCACACGCACGGGTTGCCAAAGAGGTCGATCCCGCTGTTGTTGCACGAGCGGCAGACGCCGCCCGCACCCGGCGGCGGCATCTCCTCGTCCCCCGGTGGCGAGGGCGGCGCGCTCGGCGCGCCCCCCCCCGCCATCCCCTCCGCCCCGCTCCTTCTCCCACTCTCCTCCTCCTCCTCCTCCTCCTCGGGCGGCTCCCGCTGGAGGGGCACGTCGCCGACGGCGATGACCTCAGCCATAGTCGCCACTCCCTCCTCGCGGCTCCGCCGCGCCCCCTGCGCCCCCGCCGCCTCGCCCTCGCCCGGCGCGAGGGCGGCAACTGCGGCCGCCGCGGCCGCCGCGTCGACGTCGTCCTTGCTCTGCTCCGCCTCGGCCATCAGGGCCGCCGCGACCGACTCTTTGCTCGACGAGCCGCGGATCTTGGGGATGGACTCGCGCGCTCCGGCGCGGTCGTGCGAGAGGCGGAGCGGCCGGTCGATGTTGTACTTTGCGGCGAGCTTGGCCTGCTCCTCCGCCTCGATCTGCGCGTTGCGGTTCTTGTACTCGGTCCGCTTGAGGTCCTGCAGCTTGTCGTGCACCTTCGCCGTCGACTCGAAGAACTTTGAGCAGAGCGTCGTCTCGGAGAGGAGCTGCACGATGCACTCGGTGACCAGGCAGCGCGCCTCCTGCGACAGGTGCGAGTACTCGACCACGCCCTCCAGCGAGGTCACCACCCCCGCCCACTCCGCCCCCGGCTCGCTCAGGTCGCCGAGCCCCATGACGTCGCCGTCCTCATCGTCGGCGCCCTCCTCGTCGTCGCCCGCGACCGCCCTCTGCGCCGCGCGCGTCGACGGGCCCGCGTTCCACACGGAGACGGTGTGGCCGCCCCCGAGGGCGGCCGCGGCGCCGTACGCGACCGACGCGGAGCCGTGCCCCGACGCGAGCATCGCGTTGAGCGCGACGGTGCGCTTCTTGGGCGCCTGCCCGACGGCGCGGGCGAGCAGCACCATCCGCAGCAGCTCGGGCCAGGTGAAGGGGCAGAGGGTGACGCCGCCGAGCAGGCGGCGCGACGCCTCGCCGACGCGCGCGCAAAAGTCGGGCCCCGCGCTGATCTTGTGCGGCTCGAGCAGGTCGACGAGCAGGAAGTGCGTCGAGAGGATGTGCATCGCGTGCAGCAGCGGCGTCGGCTCGTCGCCGGGCTGCAGCAGGTGGACCGCCTCCCACTCCGCCCATCCGGAGGCCTGGATGGTGGCGAGCATCTGGCGCGGCCCCGCCGACAGGTCCTCGACCTCATCCTTCCGCCGCTTCTTGCGGCCCGCGCCGGCCGCCGCGCCGCCGCCCGTGTGCTTGGCAGGGTCAAACGGGACCATCTCGGCCGGCGGCGGCGGCGGCGGCAGCCCGTCCTCGCCCTCCCTGCGCTTGGCCATGTTGGCGCGCACCTCGAGCACGGTGGCGGCGGGGACGATCGCGCGGAAGAAGTAGGTGGCGAAGTCGAAGGCGCAGAAGAGCGCGCAGTGCAGCTCCGCGGGCAGAGACGAGGCGAGCCGGTCGGGCAGCGCGATCGTCGCCGCGCCGCCGTCCTCGTCAGTCAGGAGCGAGTCGTCGACCAGGGTCGGCGCGCGCGAGACGGCCGTCGACAGCTGCCCGCAGAAGCGGCGGTGCCCGCCGAGCGCGCCCATCGACACAAAGGCGCGGTGGCACGAGTCGCAGAGAAAGTTGCCGTCGGCGTCGCGCAGAGGCGGCGCCGTGTGCCCCGCGCGGAAGCGAGCCGAGCACGCGGAGCAGAGCGTCTTTGGCCCGTTCGGGCCGGGGCCCTTGCCGGAGCACTCGGTGGCGAGCACCTCACACCAGCCGCACCGCCACGTGCCCCCGTCGCAGAAGCGCTTGTGCCCGCCGAGCGCGCCGATGGTCTCGAACTGCCGCGAGCAGAGGTCGCACACAAACTTGCCCGCCTGGTTCACCTCGGGCGGGCCGGTGTGCCCGTTCTTGTGCCGGCTGCTGCACGCCGAGCAGAGCGTCTTGGGCCCGTCCGGCCCCGGCCCCTTGCCCGAGCACTCCGAGTGCTTGCACGCGCACCAGCCGCACCGCCACGTGCCCGCGTCGCAGAAGCGCTTGTGCCCGCCGAGCGCGCCGATCGAGTCAAACTGGCGCTGGCAGGCCTCGCAGACAAACTTGCCGCTCTCGCTGATCTCGGGCGGCCCCGTGCTGCCGTTCTTGTAGCGGCTGCTGCACGCCGAGCAGAGCGTCTTGGGCCCGTCCGGCCCCGGCCCCTTGCCCGAGCACTCCGAGTGCTTGCACGCGCACCAGCCGCACCGCCACGTGCCCGCGTCGCAGAAGCGCTTGTGCCCGCCGAGCGCGCCGATGGTGGAGAAGGCGCGCTTGCAGTCGCCGCAGAGGAACTGGCCATCCTCCGTTTTCTCCGGCATGCTGGTGTGGCCGGCGCGGAAGCGCGAGCCGCACGCGTTGCAGAGCGTCTTTGCGCCCGACGGGCCCATCGCCCTTGACGGCGTGTCGCTCTCTTTGCACTCGCACCACTCGCACCGCCAAGTGCCGCCCGAGCAGAAGCGCGTGTGGCCGGAGAGGGCCTATGCGGGGGTAGGGGCGGGTGAGTGAGGCGAGGCGGCGCGCGGAGGCGGCCGCGCGGAGAGGCGCGCCGCGCGCGAGTCGAACCGCTTGCCGCACTGCGGGCACGGGTAGACGGGCGTCACGCCGTCCTCGGCCATGACTGGCGCGACGGGCTCCTTCTTGGCCCGCTTGCGCGGCTCGCCGTCGGTGCGGCGCTGCCGCGGCTTCTTGGCGGGCGCGGCAGCGCCAACGACGGCGGAGCCCGCGCCCGCGCCTGCGAGGGCGCCGCCCCCACCAGCGGCGGCAGAGGCGGCGCAGCAGGCGTTGACGGCGTGACGGCCGTCCACCGCCGCCGGCGCGAGGAGGGCGTGATGCATCGCCCTCCCCGGCGGGAGGACGGTGCCCGCCATCTGCTGCACGACCGCCTGCACCTGCTGGTGCGCGGCAGGGCCCAAGCTCGGCGGCTGCGCCGCCTGCATCTGCTGCGCCACCACCCGCGCCGACACATCGGACGTGCGCTGCTGCTGCTGCTGCCGCTGCTGCTGCGCCAGCTGCTGCTGCGCCAGCTGCGTCATCTGCGGCGTCATCTGCGGTGACGGCAGGTGCGGCTGCGTGTTGGGCGCGCACGCCGACCGCGAGCCGTGCGCGAGCGGCGGGTAGGAGCCCGGCTGCTGGTAGTTTTGCACAGTCGCGTAGACCAGCGCCGGCCGTGCCGCCATGTGCAGCTGAGGCGGCGTCGCCATGTGCTGGTGCGCGAGCTGCGCGTAGTGCATGCCGTGCTGCGGCTGGCCGAGCGCCGGCTGCGACGAGAAGTCCATCGGCTGCAGGCCGCTCGTGAAGCAGGCTCCATGAGCGGAGGAGCAGCCGCCCGCCGCCGCGCAGAGCGCAGGAGGCTGGGCTGCCAGGGCCGTTCCGCCGGCCGGCGCGTGGGCGAAGTGGTGCTGCGGGTGCTGCTGCTGCGCCAGCTGCATCCGAGCCTCCGGGCTCAGGCCCTGCATCTGTGGCTGGGGGGGGAAACCGGCCTGCGCAGCGTGCATCATCATCGCCGGCGCCGGGCCGTGCTGGCCGGGGTGAGGCTGGAAGGCGTGGGAGCCGTAGAGCGCCGCCGCGCCGACCGACTCCTGCGCCTGCGCCTGATGCGGCTGCGCCGCGCTCATGCTGTAAGGGAGCGCTCAACCCACAAAGTAGATGTTGTTCTGCCAGGTTGTGTTTGGCGTCGGCTTGCTCTCGCGCGTGAAGGTGGGAATGAAGAAAACCGTCCTGTCCGCGCTCCCCCGCCGTTCTCGTCCTTCTGCTAGCGGCGCATCCCGTCTTCTTGTCCGTCTCAGCAGCGCTCTCTGTGGTTAGAGAGAGTGACAGATTGAGAGGGTCGTACTGCAGCCAAAGTTCGCTGTTAGATAGATCACAAGATCAACACACGGTTTGCTTCAATCAAGCTTCATGCCACCTCGCGTTCTTTCCACTCTCGAGTCTCGTCGTTCTCTCTCCTGCTGTTTCATCCTCTGACTCATCGCCCCCTCGACCTCGTTCTGAGACGCCGCCGCCGCTGGTTTTCTTGAACTGAGCACTTGATATCCTAATGTGCACTTGGAGCACTTGGAGTGCAGTCGGTAACCTCACATCCAGGGCCGGGGAGCTGAGAAGCGCACCCAGCGGGCCGGATGATCGGTATCGGGTTACGGGCAAGAGAGCCCTAGCCCTGGGGGGTGCGCGTTCGCAGGGAAAGGGCCATAATAAAGTAAACACAGGTCTCCGAGGGTTGGTTCTGCGCTTTGGGTGTCCCCTAGCGGCGGAACGCCCCCTCTACTCGGAGCTAGTAAACACCAGACACGAGCATGACGTACGCTCTCACCCGACATCGCCACTCAGGGCTCCTCCGGCCGATCCCCCCACCCCCCATCCGAGGGGGCTCCCCTCTCCTCCCGGTCCTCCCTCCGCCTGTTCGCTTTCCGATGGTCCGGCGTCGGCTGCGGAGCCCGCCTTCCCCTCTTATACTTCTTCGACCGCGGCCTCGCCGCCGTCTCGCCTTCTCTGTCTGATCTTGTTGACTCCGCGGGTGGCGATCCCGTGCCCGACTCCCCGGGCGAGGGTGGCGGCGTTGGGTTATATCGCCTCCCCTCCCCGGGGCGCGGGAGGTGGTTAATTCTTCTTTACAGTCTCGTGCCCCGTCGCTGCCCGGGGATTGATCTCCCACTCTTGTGTGTCATTACCCATTCACACTCTCGTGTGTCTTTACTCGATCCCAATTATTGGGAATTGGGTTCGTATATTCATTCAACGACGTAGTCTACAAAGGGTGTGCGATCGCTCCTGCGTGCACTGCCCGGACTCGTCGCCTGGGACGGCGGCTGTGGACCCGCCTCCCAACAACGTGGTAGCGGCGGCCGTCTCGGGCCGCCGCGTCTCCATCATGGAGACGAATATTAATGAGCCCAACACCACCTACTCCGCCGACAAAGTGCTTCTCGACCGATTCAACCAACCGATCAAGTACGAAGGCAACCCTGCTGCGCTCGCCGGATTGGCAGAGGAAATAGTCGATGCCCTCAAGCGCCAACGCATCTTCTACCCACTCTTCGCAAACCGCGCGGTCGCCAAGCCTGACGGCAAAATGCTAGTCGCCGACAGAGACTCCGCACTATTCGTCAATGGCACCTATGATGATGGCGAGACGTATGGCTACGATAAGCCCTGCCCTCCGTCAGTCAAGCGCATTGAGACGTACACCGCGCTCCGGACCGCTCAGTTCACCGAGCTCGAGTCTGACGCGGCGCGCGCCGCATTCCAAGCCAGCACTCCAGCCTTCACATCCCGACAGCTCGATGCCGATGAGAGAAAAGAGACCATCGTGCAAGAGCACTTCGTGCTGATGGAGCTACAGCGGCTTGCGAACGTGATCAAACTCTGCTTCAAGGACTTCCCTGCGCACTTCACGAGGTTCTTCAGGGACTGCGAGAACGACGGGATTGCCATCCTCCAGAAGCTTCCAACCGTCCAGTACACCGAGGAAGAGAGCGCGATCGCGATCAACGCCGCGTCGAACTTTATTCTCACTGGCGCGCCTCCGCTTCTCAACAATGACACCTTCGACGACTGGATAAGGGACTTCGAGAAGACGCAGCGGCGCGTCCCACCTGCTCTGCGCGTCATCGCCTCCGACACCGCCAAGATACAGAGGATCGACCATCTCTTCGTCACTCAACCCGACATCTCCAACGATTGGCGGACCCACATCAGGGTCGAGAGGCACATCAAGAAGGAGAGTGGCGAGGCCGTATCCTACGAGTGGTACGTCGAGCAGGCAGAGTCTTTCCTCCGCCGTCGAGCCGCCCAAGACGCGCTGCGTGACGGGCTTGCCAACAAGGTTGCCCTCGCTGCCGAGGCCTCCGACAAGGACCTGTCCAAGCAGATCGCCGCGATCGTCGACGCCAAGCTCGCCACCGACCCCAACAAGAACGGGACGTCGGAGCAGGCCAAGAAGAAGGCTGAGGCCGACGTCCGGCGGGCCGCGATCAACGCTTGCAAGGACGGCGAGGGAAAGTTCTTCAAGTGGTGCCCGTTCATGAAGCTCTGCGTCTGTAAGGAGCTTGGCTTGAGCGACGGCAAGCACCACTTTGAGAGCGGCGAGTGCCCGCTCAACAAGCCCGGCTGCGACCCTGCCAAGCTCGCTGAGGCCACCGAGCTGAAACGGCGACTCTTCGGCGGCAAAGGCAAGAACAAGGCCAAGAAGCAGAACGCTAACATGTGGGAGTCCGTCGACGCCTGCCCGTGCTGCGATGACGAGGCTCACGGCGACCTCGATGGTCGCACGGCAGAGTTGCCGCGCGCGCAGGCTGAGACTGCGGCGGACCCGAACCGCGCCCCCTCCGCTCCCGGCGGCGAGGCCGACGCCGAGCAGTTCACCCTCAGCGCCGATGGCAAGTCCGTCACCATCACCGACACGTGCAACGTCGAGGACGACCGCTTCAAGGGGATCCTCGACGAGCTCCTCGCGGCGCACACGGCCGAGCTGAGCGGCGACGACGGTGGCGACGGCGGCGACGCGACGCCGACCCTCCAGTCCGCCAATGTCTTCTCCTTCGCCGATGGCAGCGCCTGCTGCGATGGCACCGACAGCACCGTCGCCGTCAACGCCGCCGACGGCAACGCGTACGACAACCTTCTTGACATCGCCCAAGTGCTCGGCGCGGAGGTCCGGGCGCAAAACGACGACGTCCGCATGTTTGCGGCGTTTGCCGGCTTCTGCGGCGGCGCCGGTTTTGTCGCCGTCGCCCTCTTCCTCGCTTTCGCCGTCTGCACCGTCAATGTTTGGGCCGGGCGCGCCGCCGAGCTCGCCGTCGCCGTCGGGTGGTCTGTCGTCGCCACGTACGGGCCCCGTGCAGTCGATCGCGGCATCGAGCTCGTCATCTTTGGCCTTCGCAAAGTGCCGACTTTCCGGGCCGCCGACGCCTTCTCCGCCATCAAGCGCTTCCCGTCCGAACATCAGGGCGAGACAGCCTTCGGCGCGGCGTCAGGCGGCACCAACGGCCACGCGCGCTCTGCCGATGACGTCAAGGCCTCCCGCACCGCACCCTCCGGGCGGGAACCTGCCGTGTGGCACCCCTCGTACTGGGCCGCCGACGAGTGGGTGCGGCCCGCCCCCGTCCAGACCAGACCGTGTGGTAGCCTGCCGTACAGCCGAGCAGGTGGCGCTTGCGTCGCCGCCGTCGGGCTCGTCGTGCTATCCCTCCTCGTTGCTGCCGCCTGCGTCTCGGCCCCCTCCATCACGATGGGTGGAGTGTGCGGTATCGCGGGCCCTCGCGGCCACCTCGAATGCGCACTTCAAGGAGTAGAGTTCCCGCCTGGACACAGCGACAACCCGACCGTCGCTTTCTGGGCGAGCGAGCGTCGATGGAGCGACTTTCGCGACTACTGCGTGGGCGTGGCTGGAACCGCGGCTGCGACGTGGGCACGATGGCCCGTCGACCTCGTCTACTCGCTCTTCCAGCTCAACTCGCCTGGCTCGCGCGTACCCACGGCGTGGATTACTCTGGCACCGATCCTGGCCTACCTGTTCCTGGTACCGTTCATCGCCATCGCTGGTCGCGCACCGCTGGGCCTCGTCAAGCGCACCGTCGCGGCGCTCAATGATGCACGCCGCTCTCGGGCATTTCCATTGCTGGTAGGCTTCACGTTGATGACGTCTGGCTTCTGGATAAGCGGACCATCTAACGCGACCAGCAAGGCTCCCGTGACCGACTGGCCAGGGCGTGGCGTCACCAACGTGCTCGACGTCACGCCTATCCAGCGCGGGTGCTGGGTGCCTGGCAACGCTGTCGCGAACGCTACGGACGGGAGATATACCACCATTTTCTCCGAGGGTGGCGACGGAAGTGACGGCGACGGGATTTTCTGGGCATTATGCAACGCCTCTGCATGCCAGACCGTTCCGACCGAGGTTGAAAGTGCCCACTGCCCTGTCCCTGGGCTCAAGACGATCGTCGCCACCCCGGATTCGGGTTGCTCTGCGCATTGCACGGGCAGTCACTGCGACAGCGTCGTCAACAGGCGTCGGATCAACGAGATCTTTGGAGCCGCCAACGGGCACATCACCAGGGCGACCATCTGTGGCGACCTTCCCGTACTCGCCCTCGCGCGGCGCCCAGATGGTGGACTCCAACATGTCAAGCTAGTGATCCCAAACGTGCGCTGCGTCCCTGGATTCAAGTTCACGCTGCTGTCCGTCGATCAACTCTGGAAAGAGCTCGGCATCGAGGCGCGATTTGCCGACAAACAGCTGCTCGACCTTCGCCGCCCCGACGGCATCGTCATCCCGTTCTCACCGAGGACCTCGCGCCTCAGCGAGATCACGTTTGCTGCGCTGGGCCACGGCAATAAGCTTTCGAAAGGAGAGGCCAAGAGCGGTAGGCACCGTGCCCTCGCCGCGACGCTCGGCTTCCACGAACCCTCGTCCACCGGGCACATTGCCAAGCTCTCAAACGACGCCTGTGGGGAGCTGATGCACCGTCGAGTCCACAGAGGGTCAGGCGCCATCAGGAGTCTTGCCACCACATGTCGAGACGTCCCGGCCATTGTTGGGAGAGTGCCAGCCTCGGGTATGTGCGCTCACTGTGCCCCAGCGAAGATTCAGAGGACGTCTCACTCTGGGCAACTCGGC